TTATCCTTAGAGAAGGTTGTAGCCATGAAATAAGAATACTGTGCTACAAAAAAAAAAAATAAAATTCAAAACGAACCCTTAAAAGTTGGGCATTGTAGTAGAGACTTAAAAATTAAGTGGGAGGGCTAGAAGATAAAGTTGAGGAAACATCGAACCTAGGAAAGATAAGAAAATGAGTCAGTCTGTAATATTTGTAGCTGTTAGAATTTCAGAAAAGAACAGAGAAATTAGAAGGTAAACAGTAGAGAATTAATGCAGGAAAACTTTCCAGAGCTGATGGACACTAGTTTCTGGAATGAAAAGAAGGGTACACTTAAGACAGAGCAAGTGAATAAGAAAAGTCTCACATCAAGGCATGATATAATGCAATGTGGGAAGGCCAAGGCTAAAGGGAGGATTTTTAAGTGCTTCAGAGAAAAGAAATAGGTCAGTTACAAAGGCTCAGAAATTAAAATGCCATCTTCTCAGTATTAGTACTAGAAGCTAGCAGACAGCAGAGCAATACCTCTGCCATGGCTAGGGAAATAATTTCCAACTCAGAATTCTCTTCCCATATGAACTGTCAAATCAAGGGAAAATATAGGCCAATGATGTTTTCTGACAGAGTCTCAAAAATGTGACCTCACATGTACAGCGTCTCTGGCATTGTCATTGTAGCCAACACTTATATACATAGTGCTTACACTGGGCTTAACTCCAGCACTTACAGCAACATGATGACATAGACACTACCATTTTCCTGTTCATAAGTCAGGAAACAGGCATAGAGAAACAAAGTCTCAAGACCACACAGCTAGTCAGTGGTACAGTTGGGATTTGGACCTAGAAAGTCTTGACTCCACTGTGTTACACCAGCTCTGCCTGAGGATGTCCTCCACCCAAGCGAGAGAGACAAACAAAAACATCTGGGAATCGAGATCCAGCACAGAGCAAGGTGAGAGGAATTCCTAGGTGAAAGGCGAGGGGCTGCTCCAGAGCGATCTCGCAGTACAAGTAGGTCTGGACTGGAGCAGAGGGTCAGAGGCTCCAGGAAGAAATGGCAAAGGTTACATTACCTGGGGTGTTTGGTCATATTGTGAGTAGTCTCACTGTTGGAGAATGGGTTAGACGAGCAAAAACTTGGGGGAAAATAAACTGTGAAAGGAGAGGTCATCATAAGATGTGGCTCTGCTTTGAATGATATTTGCGTAGCCTTTGTCATGTAAAACCCTGGATTTCACTACCCAGAGAATAGTGATTTGGGGTGGGGGTAGAGGAGAGAAAGTGCCTTTTAAGGGTGTGTGTGTGCGTATGTGGGGCCAGTGAGCGTGGTGTGAGAATAAATCCTCAGCCTTCGTAGCAGCGGGTCAGTCGATCATATCTCAAACAGAAAATCCAAGCACTGTCAATGTAGATTTAGGAATATGGCAGTGAATACCAGAGGAGACACTTAAAAGATTTGAAAATGGTTGCCCCAGCGGAGGTGGAAACAGTGAGGCAGAGGACTGCTATTATGTGTTAGAAGAATTGTGTGACATTAGCTCTGGTTCACAGAGTCAAAGTCCTAGTTCTCCCACACATTTCCACACACCCTCCCTTGCTTTATCTTCCTCACAGCATTTAGTCATCATTTAACCTTATTTTTGCAAATTGTGTTTCTTGTCTGCTTTGCCTTATTAGCATATAATCCCAGTGAGGGTGGGGATTTTTTCTGGTTTGTTCCCTTCTGTATTCCTAGAGCCCAGAACCATGCTTTGCACATAGTAGGCACTGAATAAATATTTGTTAAATATGTGTTGCCTTTATAAAAATAAAAAGTCAATTAATAATGCTACCTGTTTTTAAGCTATTTGCATGCAGTAAGCTGAGCTAAGCAGCTCATTGTTTTCCTGGTGTAAGCAATGTGAAACTAAAACCCTGCAGGCTCTAATTGAGACTATTCATTTCCATTTGGGGAAATAGCCATATGCTGTCCTGAGATAGCACCTTGAAATATCTGTGCTATGTCCTATCCATCCGTATTGCAAAAATGGATTGTGATGCTATTTATGACTCAGACTGTTGAGCTTCACCACTTTTTGGCAGCTAAGATGTCGGGCAGAATACTAGCATATATTTTTAAGTGATAGGGTTTGGTTAGTGAGTGTAAGCAAGCATCACAAATGTCTTCTGTAAGGAGCATGCACCTACAATTCCAGTTTTACAGCGTAAGGAAAATCACCTCCAGCAGCCTTACCGTCAGTTTGCCTTCTGCATACTCCTGACAGTTCTTGCCATGTTTGCTGCTAACTAAAGCTATTTGTATTTCATCAGGGTGTTCTTTTTCCTGGTTTTACCTCTTCTCACCTATTCCTCCAGGAAACTTAGGATGCCAAATTAGTCATTTCACCTGTATTTCCATGGCTACAGATCAGTTCTCACATACATGATTAGAATTCACAGCAGGAGAAGCTGGGCTCTGAGAAGGAATGGTCTTTATCCTAAAGCAAATACCTGATTAGCCCAGGGAACAAAAAAAATGAAGAGCAAAGGAAATTACATGTTCTTTTTTTGCACTGCCTGCAGAATTCTTTCTTTCTTCAAAATCAGCTAAAAGCTAACCTCCCTCCATACCCCTAATTCTTAAAGGGCATAATGTAGGCAATTCTTGAATCCACAAAGGACTTAAGTAAAATATTTCAAAATCGTGTTTCTTTGATTTTGAATCTGTTAGAATATAGCTGAATTCATAGAAGTATAGTCGTACTCAGTATCCTCTGAAGATTGGTTCTGGGACCCCTACATGTACCCAAATCCACAGATGCTCAAGTCTCTGTATAAAATGGACTAGCATTTGTGTATAACCTATGTGCACATTCTCTCATATGCTTTAAATCATCTCTAGATTACTTATAATACCTAATACCATGTAAGTGCTATGTAAGTAGTTGTTATACTGTATTAATTTTTACTTTTTAAATTTTTTCCAAATATTTTCAGTCCACGATTGGTTGAATCTGTGAGCACGTAACCCATTGATACTCAGAGGCAACTGTGATTTATATTTGTATTGTCTACTTACTATTGGGCTAAACAGATTTTGCAGGGATTTTTTCTTGCTACTTTTTTTTTGGTGATTTCACTGAGCTTAAGAGCTGTTTGAATACTTAGGTAATTACAGAATAAGAGTTATAAATATTTGATGTTTTACATACCTGTGTTACATTAGCATACATTTTGAAGCAGTTTTTCCATGCTTCCTCTCCAGATTTCCAGATGTTCTCTTCTGTTGTTGGGTTGTATAACTATGGCCATGTACTCTGCTCTTCCCACTGGGTCATGAAGCTCTTATTTAATGAGCAGCTGATATTTCAATGTATCATTTTGAAGGAAGAAAAGGAATTTTAGGGGAATACTAGTTAAGTAGCAGGCAATGTGCACTTTCATATTAAATATCTGATTTTATTCTAGGTCCAAACATAGCCTTTGGTCTGTGAGAATAGGATTTCATTGTTCTGCTAATGTGAACCCACGGTGGGAAACCTTAAGATAATAAATTGTGCCAAAAGTTACTTTGTAAAGGAGGAAATTTGTAGGTTGGTAGATGAAACAGTTCATAGGATTCATTGATGGTTACAAACTCCTCCCAAGATTGTATTGGAGAGAGATCTATAGGGGCATGTTTTAGGTGTCTGCCCTTGTCTCTGGCCTGCTTGCGAAGGATATTGGGTATTTGGATAATGACTTAGAGGACCTATTTACTCAGTGATGGACGAGAAAGCTAAGAAGAATAACTAAAAACTAAATGTCACCTACAGGGTTTAAAAGATCACAGACCAAAGGATGAATTGAAAGAGATTGAATGAAATTTAATATTGATAGTTATTGTCATCAGTTTCTGACTATAAAGTTAAACACTGGAGAAGAACTGGCCAAATTGCAGAAGAGATAGAAAGCATTTGAATTTTGTGAGATCAAGGGGAATTAGCTGTGTGTATTGTAGTTGTCCAAAAAGAGTCAAAGGTCACGGTTACAGATGCCCAAAGTCTAAAGCAAAGGTGTGCAGGTCACTGCCTCTACTGAAATTTGCAAGAATGGCCAGGTCATGTTTGGGATGTTATATTTAGTTTTTACTGTTACATTAAAGGGTGTTATCATGTGATATTTGTACATAACAAAGAATACATGTAAACATAAATTATAAATAATAAAATGAACATCTGAAAGCCTTATTCCCAGCTTAGAAACTAGAACATTTGGAAGACCACTGAATCTGAATTTTCCTCCTCTACCCCAGAAGTAACCATTATCCTATATTTGTTTGGCATTTCCTTGCTTTGCAAAATAGTTTTCCCATGTTATGTGTGCATTTCTAAGCAATATTTTTTTCTACTTGTTTTTGAATTTTATTAAAATGGTCTAATAGTGTATGTCGTGTATGTAGTATGTTCAGTGCTTTTTACATTCAACATTGTTTCTAAGACTCATATATATTGGCCTTTCTCTATCAGAGTTCCTTCTCTGTACCATAGAACACAGAAAAGAATTTGAGGACTATTTTCTCAATTCTCCCAAGGCTGATACATAAGTAATCCCCGAAATTTTAGATGCCTAGGAGAGAAGTTACCTCATTACATACAATGGATGCTTTATGCTGAACAGTTAGAGCTTAATTCTCTATTGGAGCCTGGCTGACACTCGTTGAATTGTTACATGTAGCTATAGTTAATTCATTTTTACTGTTATAAAATATTCCATTTGGGAGCACACTAAAGTTTATTCATACATTCTCCTATGGATGGAAATTTGGGTTGCTTCAGTTTTTTTGTTTTGCTATTATGAACAATACCGCAGTGAACATTCTTGTGCATATCTCCAAGTGCACACGAATAAATGTTTCTCTGGATATAAGTCCAAGTGAAATTGCTGAGGACTGCTGCATTTTAATGGGAACATTGACAAACTAGAGTGAGTCCAGAGGAGGGCAGTTAAGAATAGTTCAGCCATATCATAACCAACCTTTATGTTCTTTATTTTCTTAGGGATTGAAGAGGTTAATGACCATTTGCCAGAAACACTTTCCTACAGATCCATCAAAATGTGTGGAGTACAATGCACTATGAGATCGGCGTATGGTGTGTGAACAACAATAAGAACCTTAAGGAAGCGGGGTATGGACTTCTGCAATTACCAACAGGAATGAGGGAAGAAGAAAAAGACTGCAGTTGCCAGTCTCTGAGTTCTGTCTGATGCCACTTGATTGGTCTTAAGAACTGCGATGGCTTTCATATCACATCTGACTACAAACTGATTCTGTGTCTTGCCTTCATTTTAAATAGTCGAAAAATTAAGTTCTAAAGACTTTTTATTCACAGTTTAAATGTGTAAACAACAGAAAAGGGGACTTAAAATGATCTTTTCCCACTAGACTTCAAAGAAGTGGTTAGATGATTAAAAAGAAACATTTAAGGATGGACTTAATGGTTTTGGTAAAATGTGACATTTGCACATTGTCTTTTATGTAATATTTATAAAAATATTTTTATATATTTCAACAAAAATAAGGAACCATTGAATGAAACTTTGTAGTCCTTAAATGTTGCTGAACTTTTGCCCGTCTTGCAATAGAATTTGAGTTTAAATGTTATTGCAGTTAGCTCAAATGTTTTTGTGTTTCAAAGCTTGCTTTTATCTTCTAAGGAGTATAAATTTTAGTTTTGTCATGTCTCAGACAAAAAGATTTAATAGTAAGTAGAAGTTTGAAAAAACACATATGGTGTATTATACCAACATAAATTCAAAACGAAGTAACCCCAGGTTCAAGGTGGTGCAGTGGGTCTCGAAGCCAGTGAGAGTGGGGGATTGTGGTGATGCTGGTAGACCCGTGGCCGACTTTGTTCCCAAGCACACCCTGCCAGGCAGAGGAGGAAGGTGCCAGTACTGATGCCACCACCCAAGACAACATGTCCTGGTTCTGGTTCTCCACAAAGTGAGGACTTGTTCTGATTTTGCAGTGTCATACTTAGATCATTGTGACCATTCAGCGTGCTTTGGACGTTGAGAGGACTCATAGTAACGCGGGTAAATGGGCTGTTACCTGGCCAGGTGGAAGAGGCGGTACTAGACAGTGATGAGAGTGGGGGCTCCAAAGGCAGGACTTCCTGGCTTCACGTTTCAGCTCCCCACCTGCCAACTGTATGACTTGGGGCAAGTAACTTAATCTTTCTAATAAGTGTCAGCTTCCTCAGTTTAAAATGATAACATACATTCCTCATAGTGTTATTGTTGTGTTTCAGTAAAACAGAACGCTTAGCACACTGGAGAATGCTCAGAGCTTAGTGTGTGAGTTGTGTCGTCGTCGTTAGAGGGTAGCTGAACTACCTTTGATGAGCCTGTGGTTGGTGGCAGTGTGTACTCACATGGCGCTAATCTTAGTAATGATGGTGTTAGCAACAGTAATCATGGAAACATTGATTACACATTCACAGTATCTGGGCCCGATGGCTGCCCCCACTTTCGGCCAGTTCTGAGTTTAGAAGGGCGAGGATGTGGTGGGAGCTAGAGGCTGCTGGGCAGGCGGGTGTAGATTCACACTTGTTTATTCCGGCCCCTGTTGGGAAGACTCAAAGACCAGTTCTGGCCACTGTGTTCTTTAGCCGTGTGCATAGACCGGGTTGTATCTGCTGGTTTCTTGCATGCTGCTGGCTAAGATCCACTGCCCTGAGTTGAATGGGGTTCTCTGCCTGCCACCTCTCACTTTGGAAACCTTTTCTTATGATTATTTAGCACTTAGGGGAACTTAACAGCACAAATGGGAGACACACTTCCGTAAGATAACAATCTAGACTTTCATCTTGTGGTCTTAATAGGACTTGTTTGTGAATAGTGTTGTATGATTACTTTTTCTTTATTCACAATCAGGCCACAGCGTGATAGTTAATTTCTTGCGGTCCTCCCTTTTGCTGTTAGTTACTATTCCACATAAAGAAGAAACGGGATCACATAACATCAGTACCTCCTCACGTTGATTAGTGTGATTAGATGATAGAAAAAAAAAGGAACATACTCTACAAGGCTGTGAGTGTTAACCATTTGGGGCTGATGTGGAGGGAAGCAGGTTCAAAGATGTGGATCCCCTCAGAGAAAAGTTTTCCATTTTCCTGAAATTAAAGATCTTCAGATGGCTGCAAATATCATGAGGATATGCAGAAAAATGACTTCTCCCATTCTCCAAATTGTGAAAATTTTACTTCAACAGAAACTACATGTTTCTGTTTTTAGCTGTTTATAAAACAATAAAGACATATCTTTTTAAATCAATCACAATCCTGAAAGAACTATATTCCTTCTTTCGTCAAACTCCCTGCCTCCCCAGACTCCTGTCCACGGGTGATGTGTATTTCTGGATTTAAATTTAGTAAAACATTGGTTTTCCCTCTAGTACATAGTGCATTTCCTACGAGTGTCATTGCCAACTGCAAAGATGGAGCAGTATTTTTCAGCGTTGCAACACAGAGCCTGTAGCAGTCTGGAAGTCAGGGCTGTGATTTCAGTCTTTGGGGGGAAATTAAGAAAATAAAGCTGAGGCCAAAGATAATTGACACATAGGGAGAAATGGGGGATAGTCCAGATCTTGTAGGAAGAAGGGAAGGGTCCCTAGAGACCAGAGCTAGGCAGGCAGCTGTCACCAATAACAGAACTTGGTGATTTGCTGTGGGCTGAGACGCTCAGGGAGAATTCCGAGGACTAGGAAATAGGATTGATAGCAGTATGACTACTTAATGCTAAGCTCTTCCTTCTGGCGATTTCCTGACCTATTCCAGCACTTCAGAGCACCCTAGGGTTTGATCTCAGTAAATAATAGAAGTGCAACCATCTTTTTGTTGGAAAGAATGTAATATTGTAATTTATTCTGAAAGTAAACGGCTTGGAAAACTAAGAAGAGTGTTTTAGAGTCTCTGGTAGATTGGTAGATTTGAGCTGGTAGATTTGAATTTGAGGATTCCGTATCACTGGCTCCTTTTCAGCCACAAAATCCCCTTCCCCTGTCCCCTTAGTGTCTCCGAGTAGAGTGGGCAGTTTCAAGGAAGGGAGGCATTATGTTGAGATGCGGCTGTTCCCTTTGTCTGAACATCTTGACCGTAACTTAATGGATTGTGTCTCCTCTCTGCTCCAGTATACTCCCATGAAGGGCCTGAAGGAATAACTTTATCCCATAGAAATTTATGTTACTGCATCGCATTGGCAGTCTTGAGCCGAAAAGCACTTTCTCACGGCATCTGGATGTAAGAGCTTCCAGCTGTCTAGCGCGCGAGGGCCAGCGCCAGTCCCCAGAGGGTCGCTGTGGGAACACTGTTATGGCAAGTGGTTTTCATCACAGACTCTGCAGTTCCATTGGCTGAATTATAACCACACGTTACTCCTTTAATGGTTACCAGTAACCTTAAAATCTTTTGAAATTTAAAAATAAGTTTTGGTGGTGGTGTGGATCGACCAGGGCAATGCGGTACGGCCAGTAGGAGCAGCGGTGGTATGTGCCGACCCCATTTGAGATTCTGGAACCATACTCGTTGAAATACAGGATATTTTTTACATTTGCCCAAATAGTTTACTATGAAAGCATTGCCTATGTATTTCCCCCATTGCAAACTCTGGGGTACTTTAGACAACTTGCTTAAGCCAATCCTTGGGTTGCCAATGATGGTTAAGTCTAACCAGGCCACTTCCTATTGTTCAGTTTCTCCTTCCCTGTCCTTATGCACTAGCTTCCTCAAGTTTTCTTCACAGTGTTCAAGCTTAACACATGCTTTCACCATGAAGAGCAGCTAAGCTTTGAGCTACTTTTTGAGTGTCATTGGTGACCTCAGATTCATTCACTGAGCTTCCGGCCGTGGCAGTCAATTCATCCCTGCAGTCTGCTCTCCCTGCTTTTCTGAACTCTCCGTTTTACAGCTTGCCAAAACCAAATTGCCTTCGTGGCAGCTGCCCGCTGCAGTTACCATCTCTGTGACACCTGTATGGCCCCTTTGTGTCCATGTCCATGTCTTCGCTATCTGGTCGACAGCTGTTTGTATTAAATCATCTCTGTTGAAATAATTGGTGTGGTCTTGGTCCCTCATACAACAGGCAACTGTGTTTTCAGCTCCTGGAAAAGGGGCAGGAGACCCAGGTCCTCCTCCAAGCAGTCCCCACCCATCCTCAGATGGATTTTCCATGAGCGCTCAGCAGCACAACACAGGGACCTTCCCCTGGATCAGGCCACATCCCGTGACAAGACCCAAGCCAGGATCATCCCAACGTCCATCTCCTCCCGTGCTCTGGCTAAGAGGTGCTGCCGGGGGCCAAAGTCACAATCTGTGAGTATCCTGTGTCACCTGGACCCTTGCTGCTGTCACATTCCTGATGTTTTGTGCCTCTGCTCTATGCTGGCCCCACCCTGCCACCTCTCCCATCTCACTGGGAGGGTGTCCTCACCTACTTTCTGCCTCCTATGTTAAATACAAAGGCAATCTTTAGGTTTGCTTCTACCTCCACACTTACCAGCATCTTTTATTTTCTTTTTATGCAACTTGGAGGAAAAGGTGTTCCTCCTCTTGTCATAGGTTAAATCTTCCACTGTCCTTGTTTTCTTATCACCTAATATGACATAGAACTGTTTTATTTTCCTCCTCCACTCCCAATGTAATATAAATCTGCTAAGGGCAGGGAATTTGCATCTGCTGTGTTGGCTGCAGTTGCCTGGACCTGAGCTTGAGACAGCCATCAGTGGGGCAGGTTTGGAGGTGACAGGAGTTCCATTGTGGACGTCATTAGCACCTTAGACGTCCATGTGGGAATGTGTGTAGGCAGTAGAATGTCCACATTTTAGAGAGGAGCTCCAGGATGTGGGGGTAAATACAGATGTCATCAGCGTGTGGCTGGCTTATAAAAACCCATGAGACTAGATGGGAGCTACAGAGAGTGACTGTCAGTAATCGAGAGGAGGAGTCCAAAGACTGAGCCCCTGGGATACTCCAACGCTAAGAAGTCAGGGAAGAAAAACTATCAAGGAAATTGAAAAGCAGATCCCTGGACTGTGATAGGAGGAAAGTTCCTTAGGTGGCCTGGAGTCCAAGAGAAGACAGTGCTCCGGTGAAGCCGGGGGACCGAATGTGCCGGGTGTGGCCGGTGAGTCACATAAAATAAGAACAGAGAATTAACCATTGGCTTTGGCATTGCAGAGAGTCACCCTTGAGAGGGGGTTTGGGAGAGTGGAGGGGATGAAAGCATGATTGGAGGGGGTTTGAGAGACTTCAGATGGATAAAGGAAAAATAAAAGGAAACAAGTAGCCTGCAGGAATCAAAATTCATGAAAAATGGGTTTCTGCTAGAAAAAAATCTTGGTGGCATTATAAACGCACGGGCCCTAGCAATGACTCTCCACTGCTTATTCTCCCGAGAGTGCAGTGCAGGTCCTCTGGCTCTCGCCTGAGTAGATACTGGCTCTGCGGGGTGCGTGGCTTCGTGCAGGCCATAGAGGTTCTGCCTGCAGTTTTTCTGCCTTTTCCCTGCCATCTCTGACCACGCGGTGCCTTGAATGAGGTGCTGGTGAGAGATGCCCTGTGTACACACTTGCTGATCTGCTGCGTGGGAATCACTGTAGTCTCTTCTGTCTGTCTGATGCTGGTGGCCCCCTTTCCAAACCATGTGTTGTGGTTGTGTGCCGCCTGGTCTCCTCCCCACGGACCGGGACTCTGCACCGAGCAGGCAGTGAAATGACTTTGACGCAGGCCCACAGCCTCCTTGCTAGCCCTGCGGTTCCTTCATGCCCTCTTTTTACAGCTTCACACAGAGCATTTCAAACTGGTATTTTCTAGTACTTTCTACTGGGATTGGGGTGTTTACTTTGTATTCTCTAATAATCAAAATAGTAACTATTAGGCATTACCTAGTCGGCACTATGCCAAGGGGGGAGTGGGAAAGAAATGGGAATAGTCTCATTTTCCTGTGTGCCAGTTGTCTTCCTGGGATGGACCTTAATGGTGAGATAATAGGTTAATTTCCTGAGCGGTATATATTTACATGTAAAAGACTTATTGGAGGTCTTTTCCTATTTTTTTGAGTATAGATTATTTTGCGATGCCCTGGTTGCTTCCCCAAAGAAAGGAGGTTTCAGGTTCTCCCATGGGCAGTTTTTAGGGCTCAGGAAGCAGAGGACGTTGTCTCGATGGGCTCACTTCCAGACGTACTTTGGGTTCTCACCGGATCCTTTTCCTTTTTGGCAGGGTCAGCTGGCTCTAGCGGCCAAAGCTTTAGCAAGGTTTCCCGTCCAGGGAGGACTCTCTATCCAGGTATGTTCTTGGAGGCCAGCCTTCCTGTTTCCTGCTAGTGAAGAGATGCCTGTTGGGTTAGGGGGACAGGGATTGGATTGTAGCACAGTCTCTACTCAGCCAGTCACCAGTCTACCCACAAATGGGGGATTTTTGTATCTGCCGGCCCAGTGGGCACTTGCTTTGGTGATATGATTTACAGGGTGGGCACAGAGAGTGAAGAGCGATGGTCACAGTGAGCCCAGGCGTCCTGTGCGATTGACTCTTTGCATCCTACTCAGAACCAGAGACAACATGGAGACAGAGGCTGACGACAGTCCCTCAAAGACCAGATTCCCTAGGCGTTCCGTCTATTGAGGACTGTCCCGTGGGGACAGTACACATGGCTGGCACATATTATACAAGGGCAACTGTTTATAATGAGCCGTGATAACAAAAACTGAAATAGTATGCTGACAAAGACTGACCTCTAATCTAAAGTCCTTCTTTGTAGTAGGATGAATACATAATTTAGACTATAATATCTCATATATTTAACAAAAGGAAACTAGAATAAGAGGGAATCGCCTCTACCAAACAAACCAAGCTCACCTGTATCATCTAGCAAACCAGTAAGAATACCATCCACGGACTGACTTTCAAAAAGGAGCCCAGTGCGGTCACGTGAATTACAGATCCCCAGAACGTGCTTAAGCATTTATCACTTAGACCCAAACACACACAATTTCCAAGAGGCAACTGGGATCTTTTCATTTTGAAAATGCTTTAATAAGTGTTGACAACACTGTTTTGCAAAATGTAAAGGTACTATACAAATTCTTAATACAAAAAGAATAAATTAAAAGCAGATTTCTTTTTAATTCTGCAACTTTGTCTACAACATACATCTTTTTTTTTTTTTTCCATTGATTACAGTTGAACAGAATCCAGTAAAATCATTTTACATGCTCTACAGTCAGTTTCAGGAGCAACCTAATCTTTTTTTCCCCCCCGTTATTAAACTAGAGTCCATTTTACACAACTCGTAATAAACTATTGACATTAATGTATATGTAAAAGTTTACACCTAGTTAACTAAGCAGTAACTGGTCGTCTGATAGCACCTGGATGGGGTTTGCTATATTTGGAACTAAACTAATACTGAATGAAAACAAGTTGGAATTTTAACAGTTTCAACACTCATCTGCATATGAGAAAATTTTAAAAAATCAACCTGGCTCACAGCATAGTCTGATGTATGTGTTTTCACCAGTGTTCTGGCTTAAACAGGCAATTTCTTATACGTATCCAAAGAATCCAATAGGGACTTTATATCAGACCAGGGACTTCATATTTCATCATCTTTTGTTTTAAAGAAATAGGGCTATATAAAGAGTTTGCAAGTGCTTGTATACAATAACTACATCATTTCCCACCACACTGATCATTCATTATGTCAGTCAAAGGACCAACACTTTATGTACATTTTGTAATAACTGAACGCAGCTAAACAGTAAAACCTGTTTTACTTAATCGCTGTCTTTACTACCAGACTATCATGATGTTTGCTAGAACTGTCATTTCCTGCTCCCAGTCCATTCTTCTCTGCCCCCTGAATCTGAAACATAACCCAAGGTTTTAGAATTTTTGCCTCTCATTTCTTATAACTCAACTGAGCTAAAAGCTTCATCCAATTAAAAACTTAGCTTCAAACTACTATCCATGTCAGGCTTCCTCAAACTACGGCCCATGGGCCCCATGGGGGTGTTTTTGCCCGTTTGTTTTTTTACTTCCAAATAAGATGGGTGCATAGGAATTTGTTCATAGTTTTTTGTTTTTTTTTTTTAGTCCAGCCCTCCAACGGTCTGAGGGACAGTGAACTGGGCCCATGTTTAAAAAGTTTGAGGACCCCTGATCCATGTTGTATAGCCCATAACCGTGTAACCTCATCACCTTCTCTAGCTCCCATGTGACTTTTCCTGCTGCACATAGTTCAGTCTGATTATTCATGTATCTTCTCTTGGGAGAAAGGAAAATGGCCCAATATATAATGTTTCCAAATGGGGAAGTGGGGAAAAAAACAACCTATAGCTCTGACCTTCAAAATAAGGAGCAACAAAAACATCCCCCAGTTAATCCCTGGAGTCATTTAGTAAGTTCATAATGGGTTTCTATTTTTCCTGCAGGTTTACCCCTAAAGTGTTCTGGGAATCTTAATCCCTTCTACAAGCTGGAATCATCAACCCGGCTGCGCTCAGAGCCGGGGGAAGCAGGCCCTGAGTCGTTCAGAGGCCGGTGGAGGCCACGGCCGCCCGGTCCCTGCCACGTGTGCGTGTTCCAGCTCAGCTCCCAGCGCCTTCTGGGCTGCAGCAGAGGGGATACCGTGAGTAACGGTTTTGTTTTAGTATCCAGTCTTACCCTCCTGGTCTGGTAGAGTCTATTGTTATTCTTGGATTACACATACATGGAAAAAAAAAAAACCGAAGATTTTCTTTTTTACGCTAAAGCTAGCTTCAGTTCTGCTTTTCCCACAAAACTACCCCCACCCCGGCTCCTGTCCCTGGCTGTCAAATGCCTTTCCGATAGGAAGTCATCACAAGTGAGAAAAAATACCCCCCGCCCCCTACTTGTGCCAACAAGCACAGCATACCACCTCCGTGGAGACCTTTTTGTGCCATCTTGAATAACCCAACTAAGATTGTGCACTTGTTAGTTATTATAAAAGTATTTTTGAGGCCTTTGAAGATTGATGGCTTTCCAGTTGTGTATTAAGCATAGCTCAACACACATGTAAACGTGCAGCTCCCACACATGTTATTTTTCTTCCTTCCTCTTTTGGTGTCTGCACACAACGTGCATCAAAGTAACTGCTAAGGGCGTGGGTACAGGGGCCCTTTGGGAGCTGATTTTTTTTTTTTTTTTTTTTTCCAACCCTGCTCTGCCTGCTGGCTAGTAGACACATGAGTCAAATCTTTCTACCTAAGGGCATAGTTGGGTTCTTAGAATAAGTGACACATAGAAGTCGGATCTGAGCTCTTTGTCACACAAGTGCTAACAAACATAAAATGAGCCACGACATTGAAAACACTTGAATGGATCGCAAATGTGCTTTTCCCTTGGTTTCCCATAAAAAAGAAAATGAAACACCTTGTGCAAAAAAATAGGATACACTTTTACTGGTTGTTTTAATGAGAGAGAACCACTTTTGGCAATTAATCACCTTATGTTGACTGCAAATCCTGAAAGGAAAGCAGCGCTGAGTCTTGGGCTGAACCACCTGCGTAGGCCAGGGTGACAGTACACTCTGCTCCTCCCCTCGGGTCTCTGTTCCTTCGTGTCCAGACCGGTGGAGGGTCTGCGGCACCCAAGACTCCCTCGTCTTTACCATCACACTGGGTTAGTTTCTCAGGCTTTCTACGGAGAGTGAAGTGGACCATTATGGGAGAGGGAACACCAATTTACAGATGGTTGACTTTCACTTGTGTGTAGTAGCGGTTTAGAATTTGAAAGAAATTTCCTTGCAGAAAGAATGTCTTCCTCTTGGCCCCTCTTGTTTGTGGTTTTTATTATTTTTTTGTTTAATCTTTGGCAGCATAGAACTGATTGTGATCCTCCGATGCATGTCTGCAGTGCTGAGCCTCCTTTTCATCCCCCCTTCCCCAGAGCCACTCTCCCTCCAGGCTGTCCCGTTAAGGAATATTTCAGGTACGAGCCGAATATCCCACGAGGCGTCCTCTCCAAGGAAGTGCTTGGTTGGCCTACGGGTGGCAGGCTGGACATAGCTTAATGGTCCTTCCGGATCACCCTGTACTCAGCCCCCTTCCTGTTCTCCACCGATGCTGCTTGTCCGCAGGAATTCGATGCCAGCCGGCCTCCCTGACGGTTCCTGGCCTTGGGGGGCTCTGTCATGGCAGGGGGAAGCCACCAAGGTGCCATTGAGGATTGGTGTCTGGCCCTCTGTAGGCAAGAGAGCCAGAGGACACACAGTGGGACCGGAACCTTCCAGAATGTCTCCTCAGTCAGGTTTTTGAGGGGGAGGGGATGCGGAGACAGGAGAAAAAAAAAAGTGCTGAGGGCCAAAGCTGGTGCAGGGTGACAGTGTGTCTGGGTAAGGCAAATGAGAGGCAGTGAGGTGATCTCAGAATGGCGTTGAGGCGGTCAGATCAGGCCGGGCTGGCTCACACGAGAGTCCCGGGCTTGGCTTTCTCCTGCCCGTACCACTGGACGTCAGCTAGTTCTGGATAAAGGGAGGAATCCAGGAAACAGCTGTCATTGTAGCTCCTGTGGGGAACCCGAGAGAGGAGAGGTGACAGTTAAGGGAAGGTGTGTCCACTTAATAGTGCCTGTATACATGATGGCTCATGCGGACCAACAGAATCCACATCAATCTAATACGATTGCAAAAAGGAAAATGCACACTCACACTTAATGCAGCAATTCTGTGGTTCTCAAGCTTGGCTGGATTCTGGAATCACCCGGGAAACTCTTGAAAATACTCAATTCTGGGCCCCACCCCAGAGATGCTGGTTTGTCTGGTCTGGGGTCTACGTGCTGGGAGCTTTCAAAGCCCCCAAGTGATTCTCAGATGCAGCCGAGGCCCAGAACCCCCTGGGCCAGATCCCTAAGGACAACCTTCCCGCATAGCAGCCGCTTAGGGTGTCCTGCGTGAGACCCAGGAGTAAGCGGATCTCACTAGTGGACTTTTATTCCGTCCTAGAAGGACATTCAAAAGGTGAGGTTTCCCTAGAGTGAAATTGAGGTGATATTTTGAATTTAGTTTTTAAAGTCCCCCCTCCCCCCCAAAATCAGTGCTGACTCTGCTTTACTCTAAATAACACGTACTGTTTTGTGATTATAAACAGTCTATTTTAGGTAGGCATCACTAATTCTTAAATATCAAGAAGTGATGACAGTATGTTGATTTTCTTTAGGGCTTCACAGGATATAAGGAACCACCACAGCCAGTGTTTCCCAAAGTAGTTCTGTGAGATGCTCTGAGGAAATAAAAGAAGGTTCCATGGACAAGCAAGTTTGAGGACTCTGCCTTTTGGAGCACTGCAGAAAGGCCCTGAGAAATCCTGCATTACTTTGCGCCACTCAGAAGTCCCCAAATAGTATCGCCTATGAAAATCTACAGAGCGTACTTTCGAAACCACTATCTTAAATAGCTTGATATTATAGAATGTGTTTGACTCTTTTGTATGGTGTATCCTAAGTAGTTTCTGGTTGAAACCATTACTGTTAAAAAGTTGAGTAATAATTGTATCACAAATACAAAGGGCCTTTGTGACAACATAATCTGTTCCAGAGGAACTAAAGTATTGATCATAGAACCTCGAGGAAAGGCCATTGAGTTCAAAGTGCTGGTGTGTGTGCGAAAGGCAGTAGGTTAGGTGAAGGGGTCTTGTTCATTCCGTGTGTGAAGACACAGTTTAATCCCTAGCTGGACCATACTACTGTCCTGTGGTTCATGAGGGAGGCTTCCGCATCACAGAATCCCATGTCCGAGATAAAGAGGATCTTTTCATTTGGCTTGCTTATAAATAAGCTAATGTCGGGGAGGGATGGGAGGTGCTGGGTTTGGTGGTTTGTTCTGCGCGTGGCCCCTGAGAAGCGTGAGACTTCCAGGGACCCAGAAACAGCTGCCTAGTCTGATATGTATATTTTTTTCAGATTAAAAATTGTTTACTAAAGGAATAAACGAGAAAACTAGGAAGCTACAAGAAAAGACATGTCTTTCAGTGTTTTACACAGACCATTTCTTTTCTTTTCTTTTTTTTTTTTTTTTTTTTTTTTTTTTTTTTTTTTGAGACAGAGTCTCGCTTTGTTGCCCAGGCTAGAGTGAGTGCCGTGGCGTCAGCCTAGCTCACAGCAACCTCAAACTCCTGGGCTCAAGCGATCCTGCTGCCTCAGCCTCCCGAGTAGCTGGGACTACAGGCATGCGCCACCATGCCCGGCTAATTTTTTATATACATATCAGTTGGCCAATTAATTTCTTTCTATTTATAGTAGAGACGGGGTCTCGCTCTTGCTCAGGCTGGTTTCGAACTCCTGACCTCAAGCAATCCTCCTGCCTCCCAGTTAAATCATATTTCTCAAATATTAGCAAGCTATGAAGAGGAAGCATGCTGAAATATACATTTACAAAATCAATGCCATTGAAAGTCCTCCCTCCACGATCTTAGTGGTATGTCTTCACCCTGCCCTATGTCAAGTAGTTATAAACCATAAAGGTTTTTAAAGCTATCAATGTTATTTGATGTGTTGGTCTCTCATTCTCACGTTTGGGGAAGAAACCCATGTTCTGGCTGCTCAGTATAAATTCAGTTCTATGCTAATAGTCAAGACATGTCATGTGCTAAAAAAGCCAAATGAACATAAAAGAGACCATTTAGGAACATTTGTTCCGCGGGGAAGGTGGGGGGAGAACTAAGTAGTCACATTAGTAAATTTACGTGAGTCATGCACTGGGATATGATGAAGGTATCTAGGTATGCTCTTCAGCTGTGACCTGGGAGAGTAGCTTAGATCTAGGCACTCTGGGCCACTGTGGGGTCCGAGAGTGGTGACTTCTGATTCTGGTCACTGCTGGAATGCCCTTCCTACTGTTCTACTGAGGGGCACACAGAGATTGAGGCCTGATGCCAGACAGATGGCAAATTCATGAGCCTCTGTCACCCATACCTTAGTGGAGTTTGTGGTTTATAACTGCTTGACATAGGGCAGCAGGGGGAAGATTGGGATTCAGTAAGCCAGGGGGTTGCTCAGAAGTCTGTCTTTCGAAGCTTCTAGCGGGTGCAGGTGATGATGCTTGTCTATGGACAACATCTTGAAAATCAGAGCCCTGCAGCATTTGGTACCAGGCATGGCTGTCACTCAAGAATGCTGGGATGAAATTATGGGCGATCTTCAGGTACTCTTGAATCAACTAAGTCTGCCCTTGGTGCTTTGAAACTTCACTGATGCTGTTCTTTTCATGGACACCAATTATTAAACCAGTAAAAAAACCTCTACAAATATTTGTATGTCTAAGACACATTTTCTGGGAGGTAGCATTGGGCACATCTAACATAAAAACATATGTATTAACATACAGTTCCCCATGTATCTAGAAATAAGACATAAAAATAATGGCTTCCACACCCTTTGCAGGGTTCCTTCTGGAAACAATGACATGGGGTGAGGCAACACGTCTGGGATCACAAACGCATGGGCAGAAAGAACAAAACATTCCCTTACGATACCTCTATTCATGAGTACTTTGGTGAGTTGGAGACTCAGACCCATCCATAATGGGTGAGTTTTCTGTTGTTTCTCTGAACAAAGGAAAGCAGGAGGAAGAAGAGAAGAGATGTCATGTTAAAGACAGGAACTGACACAGACATTATTAGTAGCTTTAGAGTTAGTGGCAAATACCACATGTTATGCAGAACTTTCTTATTGCATCAGTTAATGATATTTCACGCTGATCTGGCAAAACAGTTGACTTGAAGGACCAAAATATCTTTTTGTTTCACATTAGTTTTCAGTCCTTACTAACTACATGTGCTAAAACAGGCAAGTTTCAAGACCAGAGTAAGTGCATAGGCCTGTGAGACTTGCTCATAAATGTCACATATACTTGGATCAAGTGAGACTAGGCATGATCCAGAGAAGTAGCTTGAGATGTGAAGTTTCTTATTGAGAGGAGACAAGTTAGCCACTGGGGGTATATATACAGAAACACAGAGTAGTAGCTACTGCCCCAAAGACAGACCAAGAAGTAGGAGTGGACATAAGACTGTAGTTTGGAATTAAGGAATCCAGTAGTCCCAAGGAATAAGAGGCAACAAAGCAGAGTTCAGTGACTGCCAAGTTTTTATGTGCACCAAAATTACCTGAAGGGCTTGTTAAAACACAACCTGCTGGGCTCCACCCCAAGAGATTTAGATTCTGTAGGTCAGATGTGGGCCCAAGAATCTGCATTTCTGACAAGAGCCCCAGTCTCACTCATATGCTGTTGGTCTGAAGACCACACTTTAGAACCACTGGTGAAGTGGGAAAAGACAGGGTTTGGGGTCACAGAGAGCAGGGCTGAAATTTCCAGCTCCCTTCAGCACGGCACTTATTTTTTCTGAGCCTCATCTATAAAAGATCCAGTTGTTTCCCTCGCAAGGTTGCACTGAGGATTATGTGAGCTCATATATAGAAGCAGCTCCCAGCCTTTGAGTACGCAGCAAGCACACAATACATGTTAGTTCCCCTTCTCTCTGGTCAAAAACTAGGGCTCCAAAAAGCCTAGTATAAAATCACTACAGATAAACTTGCAGGAATGAAAACGCCAAGCATGGGAGCCTGAAGGCAGGCAGTCAGCAGAGCCAATGCCAGAACTGTGGTTTTCTTTTGAGTCAACCCACACAGCTGTCAGATTGTTCCAGACATGCCCCCAGCCAGAAACTGTGGAAAAAACTGGGTAAGGGGACCCCTCACTCCTTTAACCAAAAGGTATTAACAGAATCTAACATCCACTGAGAGGCGATGTCTCAGGAGCAACAGAAGAGGCAGGTGTTGGTAGACTCAAGCCAGGTACCTGTGTCTGCCGGACCCTCCATTCGGTACAATGACCAAAGTGGCTATGAAATTATGATGCTCTCTGCCTATATTTAAAGCTATAAAAGGAGCTTTTGGTTTCATTTATTTTGCTGTGTGCAGCTTCTACTTTGTTGATAAAGAGTAAGTGCTTGGACAGAACATTTTTTCTTAAGATGCACCCTGACACTAAGCCAGCAGGCACACTGAGAGGCGCGTGACACATCTGGCCCAGGCCTGGCACACGGAGGTGCTTGATTACCACCTCTATGATTCCCCCCAACATTCCTGCCTGGCATTCTGAGTCAGCCTGGGTATAATCCAAACCCGAATCAACTGCTATCTGCCATCGGGACCGAACAAGCACAATTCTACTTCCACCTCCCCACGCTGTAAAGCACAGCGACAGAAAGGAGTGGGTAGACGGTAACAGCATTTTATGAAGGAGTTGCCCTGTCATGAATCCTCACTGTTTGCTTACTGAAATACATTCCAATGTCACCAGGATCTTAATGTTTACAACACTTTCTAGCAGATGCAGTCTAGAACCAATGGACCAGGTTAAAGGCCTGGAAGGGGAACTCACCCAGTCTGCCAGGTTAGGATGTGGTGGGGACTGCTTGGGGGGGTGGCTCCAATTTCACTTGACGGCGTTGAGCTTCTCTGGCTTTGAGGTAAGGCAGCTGTACGCAGGTGGCGCAGGAAAGGCAGGGAGAAGACAGGGATTAGACACGGGGAGGGGCTGATGACTCACTGGCCTGCACCAACCCAGCGGCCAGGAGTCACTACTTCCAAGCATACTGAAGATGGTCCCATGGCAGGGGCTCAGTGGGGGAACATCTTTGCACCCTACCAATTATGTTTTCTCCCCCAAACCATGCCCTCCATTCCAAGTCAAGCTGACCTGGCGTCCTAGGTTACTGCTTTGCCACCAGAAGTGGCCTCAGGGATGGGGGCAGCTTCTGCAGCAGCAAAAACCCTGGGCAGGCCTCATGCGGGGCCGGCGTCTTTCTCTGGCCCCAGAGCAATTTCAGATGTCACCGAGATGCTCTCGCTTATGAATCGGGGCCTCCAGAAGGGTCCTCAGCGCTTGCCCTCCTTGCTGTTTCAGGCTTATCATTTGCTACTTTAGTACATTTTGAAGGGGGCAGGGCTTTTAGAAGCTCGTCCGTATCTGATTAGTGGCAGTTTACTGATGTGGGCAGCATAGAAGTCTAGTTGGGAAAAATCTAGTAGGAAGTCAATCCTACTTAAATGCATCCTTGGCTTTCTTGGGAACGGAATCTTCATCAGTAAACCTCAGAGCTGTTTAAAGTTTTTAGTATAAAATATGTTCCAAAAGATCTACCTATCCTCTTCATGTAAAGCAAATTCATTAGACGAGCACTACAATTTCAATAGAACAGAAACACTCCTGTGCCTTATCAGTGATATTTACAAACCACTGCTGGGTCACAGACGATCATGCTGTTTAAATGGTACAGGTAATTTATGCACTCTCAAAACCTTGGGGCGTCAATGGCAAATTTCATTTTACAGATGAAGAAGGGACATGAAGAAGATTCTAGGACCCTGAAGTCCATGATATGCTTACAAATACCCGAATCATTTTAATTCTGGTCTCTAGAGCTTATCCTTTGGCTAAAATGTGCCATAATAAATGGGGACATGGGGGCAGAATGCCCTGCTGGCTCCAGGCTCCAAGAATCTCCTTCAGTTCCCAGATGATGACCTCCCGCTTGTTACCTTTAAGGCCACTCCCTCTTTTCCCTGATCGTTGCCCTCATATAAACGACCTTCTTTCTTCCCTAAGTCCAATTCCTGCCTTGGATTTCCTCCCACTTGCTTATTCTTGTGATGTTTACCATTTTTGTTATATCTCAACACTTACTTTTCCTACAGTCAGGGTGCAGAGTCCCTTCAACCCCTGCCCCCGCCACCCTCCCACCCCGCCGGTCTGAGTGGCGTATGTAAATGCAGACGGATACACCAGTGTGCAAGGTAACTGCTCAATCAACATCAGTTACTGTCACTATTATTCTTTCCTACTGAGGGAAAGGGAAGAGAATGTAACTTCTTAAGGAAAACGATGGTTTCTTGCATTTTTTTTTTTTTACTGGACTCAGTACTGCTCAATGCTCTTAGTTTGATTATAGAAAATTTCAGACATAATATCAAGGGTATTGAATGCACTTTACAAAAATCACTTTGTGGCTGCATCACATCATTGAAACTGGAAAGCCCGGAGCAGTCAAGGGTCATCTACCAAGACATGGGTGTCAAATGTGGAGCTCCAGGACTTCACACCCTAGTCAGCCGGTCCCCACCTGGGGAGACACTGGCTAAATCTCGGCTTCAAGACCCAAGCCCATCCCCATCCCAGCATTTCTTTCCAGGGTACAACTCAGGCCTGGGTCCCTAGTTTACCAGAACGTGGCTTGTCACTAGGGTAAAGCCTTTGGCTGCATAAACCCTGAGACACGACTTCACCTGACTGTCTTAGATTTCTGTTCTGACAAGAAGTGGCTAAGGTAGCGGATGTGGGACTTGGCCCAGCACGCTCTGGGGGGTCAGGTGCAGGTGGCTGTGCAAGGCCAGCATGAGAATGGGACGGCTCGGCCGTGCGCCACAAGACCTCACGTCACCCACATCTGCCAGCTAAGTCCCCAGAGCTGACGACTTCCTTGGCTCGCCGCATGTGAGGTCTGAGGGCCTCCCCCACCGCAGCCCCGCCGTCCCCTCTCACCTGACGTGGCCTTGCACATCTGGGGCATCCTGGTGACCCTGCTGTGCGCCACGAAGGTGCTCTGGGAGGAGGTGCTGTACTGCGAGCCGCTGTCCGAGGAGGTGGAGCTGGTGTGCGACAGGCGGCTGTGCTCCTTGTGCGAGGCGGTGGAGCGCTGGTACCACTGGCGCAGCTCGTCCGAGACGGCGGCGCGGCCCGCACCCTTGTCGTGGGCGCCCTCGCGGCCCAGCGACGGAGTCCGCAGGATCTGCGAGCGCGACGGCGTCAGCCGGCCCGCGTCGCCCTCGTCGCCGCCGCCGCGCCAGCTCTCCTTGAACAGGCCCCCGGCCGTGTAGGAATTGGAGGTCTTGAACTGCGCCTTGACGCTGTAGTGGCCCTCCTGGTCGCTCTCCAGGCTGCGCACCACCACCGGCGTGGCGCTGCCCTCGATGTACAGCGGGTACTCCTTGATGCGGTACTGCGAACTGGGCTGGCTCTGGCTGTGCAGGTACACGCCGCCGCCCGCGCCCCCCGCGCCCCCTGCCGCCGCCGCCGCGCCGCGCGCCGCCAGGTTGGGCATGCTGCCCGAGCTGCCCGCGCCCAGCGCGCCCGCCGCGCGCGCCCGCTGCCGCTGCCGCGCCTTGGACGGCGAGTCCTCGGCCAGCGTCGAGTAGTTGGCGTTCATCTGCGCCGGGTAGTAGTGCTCCGAGCTCGAGTGGCTGGTGCACGACGAGCAGTCGTCCATGGGGTCCGAGCCGTTGCTGCTACGAGTCCGCGGGGTGTAGAAGTCGGGGCTCCCGGTGTCGTTCTCCGAGCCCAGGAGCTTGCCCTGGGACTCCAGGCTGGAGCTCCGGTGCCTAAAGTGCAGTGCGAGGCTGTGCAGTCGCGTGGGGCTGATGTCCACCGACCTGTGGGGAGACGGCCTCCGTTGGTCTGGGGGACCCAAGAGGGGCGCACTGGGGACCCACATGCGTTGCACGAGAGGAAGAGCAAAATCCACATGGGTGGCTATGAAGCCGCCAGCGAATGGAGGGGCGGGGGGCATCTAGGGACCTAGAGTCTGAGCAGGGTTGGTCCCTGGAGGTGAACCCCGGGCCTCGCTTTCATTCCCAGTGGGAAGTGAAGCCAGGACTGGCATAAGGGTTTCCTCTGGGGAAAGTATGCCAATAGCTGGGGCTTTTTTTTTTTTCTTCCTTAAGGTGGAAAAATGATTTTATAGATACAAAGATAACTCCAGAATCACTATTCTGGTGTTACATTAAAACAGATAAAATGACCATTTTTGTAGATCAAAAGATAGTCCAACAGAGGCCCTTCATATGATTTAACCAAATACTACTAAGAAATCCACATAAATAGATTCCCATTTCCCGTGCAAACTTGGAAGGTTGGTGGAACACGTAAAAGAATGATGCAAATATTGGCCATGCTGTTACTCTGTCTGTAACCCATTCTGCTTACAGTGTCCACACTACTGATATTCATCACCAGCACTTGGCAGACCATGTGGCCAGACGCTGGAACTTCATGGGAAGTTCACAGCGCCCCCTTGGCCAAGTACAGAAGACCAGTTCTGACTGTCACTCAGGGTGGAATCGGAAGCCCCTATGCCACATGGCCCTCAATGGCCTGGTTTCTTTTTCAGAAAATAAAGGTATGATTCACCAAAGCCTAAATTTAGCGTATTTCTTTTGCTAATTAGGAATTTATACCTTGAAGCATTAAAGGAATTCCAGTGTAGATTTAGGTCTCAGTAGAAAGTTATGAGAGGACTATCAAATAGAGATCGTGCCACCAGGGCAAGGTGGTTCTGGCCCCAGCTCTTCCGGTGCTAACCGGGCCAGCCTCTCCTGCCTGCATCCTGATCAGGGGAGCTCTTTCCATGCTGACTGTCCCCAGGAGCCCAAGGAATCTCAGCCGACTCCAAGTGCCCCCTGGGACGGGGACAGGGTGCTATAATGGGTCTCCTGGCTCACCGGGGCCAACCTCTGCCACCTCAGTTTTTAAAATTCCGCTTCATTTATCCTCACAGGTTCAGGTCTGTCTCCAGCTCACCCATCACTTGGGCCAGTTTGGGGCCAGCAATGCCTCATTTTAAAAAGGAAGGTCTGGTCTGAGGAGGGAGGTGGCCCGAAAGCCTGGCGGACTCACCTTGTGGAATGGACATAGTGGGGACTCCGGACCCGTAGGTCCGGTGTGGACGGCATGCTGGACTGGGAGTTCCAGTGGGGGAGGCCACGGCTGGGGCTGTTCTGCAAGGAGCTGCTTCCTCCTCCTGCTTCGGCACAGCTTCCCGTGCTGGGGAAGCGCTTGTGGCTGCTGCAAACCCAAGGAAGCCATGTTGTCACTGCCAGACAGATGGCACCTCCAGGGGGCTGGCTAGCTGGGGACGCAGATCTGGGTGGGGACTCCCACCTCACTCCCTCGGATCTCTACCCTGGACCTCAGCCTCTCCCCCAGCAGTGTGTGGGGCTCCTGGTCCCTGACACCCCTAGACAGTATGAGCTGAAGACCCTCACCAGCCTTCTCTGTAACAGGCACAGTGTGACTGTCCTGTCAGTCCCCTGCCCTCACGGTTTCTGTTTTCGGAGAGACAAATATTTACCTGTCGGCTCACCCACTTAGAACTTTATAGGGTGCAATTAAAGGAAATGAGAAAAACAGAGAATTGGACCAAAAATTCCTTCAAAAAAAAAAAAAAAACCCCTCTCTACAATGTCAGCCCAGGGACAAGCTGATGGGGCGTAGCTCCGATCACAGCTGTTTGGCTGCAGAATTCTGCGGGAGGATGGCTTAGGGTTCTGAACCACTCCGGGACTCCTGCGAGTGGACTCGCGCTTGCCATTTCGGAATAGCGCTGCCTGAGATTTCCTAATTAATTCCTGTGGCATTTAACAGCATTAAAGCCATCTGCCATCACCGTGGTGGTGAGCCAAACCCCAGCTCCCCTCTCCCCAACCAAATGACCAATCTGCACCTCAGCAGCGCCAGCAGCAGGGGGCGCTGTGGGCACAGCACCAGGGAAGGCGAAGGCAGGCGGAGAAACCAGGTGCACGTGGATTTTGTGCCTGCCCTTTGATTCCTCCAGAGCACAGACAGGGTGACCTCGCCTGGCCTCGTTCACGACCCGACTCACCTGGAATGGCCGTGGGAGGAGCGTTTCTTGACCTTCTCATAGGGCTCATCCAAGGAGGACTCGCTCCACATCTTGGGCTTTATGGGGGACTTGTCATAGTCGCTGCGGTGATAGTGCATCTGCCTGAGTCCCTCCAGGGACTGGGGAGGAGGGGGCCTGTTGTGCGACGGTGGCCGAGGAGGGAGTCCCTTGTGAGGAGAATGTAAGGGGGATATTGTGCTGGTAACCTGAGAGTCTTCTGCACAAAGACAGAGAGAGAGAGGGACTGAGTACGCGTCATGCGTTCCGCAAGACCCCAGACAGAGCCCCCACCCGCCTGCACCCCACACTGGCAGCTCGGGGCCACACAGCCAAATCCACACCTTTCCTTCTCCCATGGAACAAAGAACCCGGGGACTCTGCCCCACTTGCCAAGACCAGTCAAGACCAGTCAAGCCAAACCTGAGCAAACCAAACCCCAACTGCACGCAGAAATGCACGGGAAGAGACCTCCTACCACTTCTGATTAGACACGGATGGAGCGAAGTCTCAATATTATGAAATGCCACCAACAAACGATGGCTTCATCCCAAAGAGCAAAACGTAGTTATTACCATATTGTAAGTTTTCTTTTTCAACAGACACTAGGGCTCTGTTTTTGCTTTGGGGCATTCTAAGCCCCATAGACTTTTGTCTGTTTTATTCATTGCTATATGGCTCAGGGCCACAAATGGCAGGTGACACACAGTAGGTGCTCAGTAAGCACTGGCTGGGGGAAAAAAAATGAATGAAAGCGCATCTGTCCCGTGTAAGTATCTGCTGGGTGAATCTGGGTTTCTACTCCGCTTTTTTTCCCCAGAGGTATCTGTATTCTCTTAGGTTCCTGTATATTTTTAATGTTGGAACTGCTTTAAATTCTTTGGGAAGGAGATGGGCTGGGAAGATTAAGTACTAGAGAATTATTCTCTGCCTTCAGGGGGGTGGTGATCTAACACACAGCAGGGTGCTACAGGACTTTTGGAGACTGTGAATTCAGCTAGTCTAGGAGGGGCCGTGGGAGGGGGAAGGGCACTGAGCAGTGGACGGGCAGAGAGGAGGAGGGGGGAGAGAACTTGAGCCAGAGCGTGGAAAGAGGAGCTCCGATCAGCGCAGCGCCCCTCCGGTGTGTTCTGTGATGAGAGGAGTTGGGATGTGGTCTTCAAGCCCCGGGAAAACTTTGCAACTTGTTAAGCTCAGATGCATCAGGGTACAAAAATGCTGTGTGAGAGCTAGTCACCTGGCAGCATTCAAAAATGAGAGAGGTAGGGAGAGGGCCTCGGGCGGGGAGTGGCCCGTGAAGACGTAGGGTAGGTCAGCATTTAGAGGACAGAGGAGGGAACACTTGAACCTTCTGGGAGAGGGAAAAATGCACAAAAAGCAAAGCCCCAATCACCTTTCACTTGTCCCTAAGTCCGTTCCTAGCTATTAGGCCTTTCTCGGCCTGATTCTCAATCCCCAGCCAGGGACACCCACTATGTTTCCATTCCTCCTTTGCCCTCTCAAATCAGTTAAGGAGGAGTCTGGGAAAAAGGACCTGCGATGGAAGTGTGGGGTGCAAATGGGGGGGGGGGCAAGGCCCCTCAGGAAGTCCCGAGGTCTGGAACTTGGGGAAGAAACTGGCATCACCGGTGATGTCTCAGAATTAGCTAACGACATCATCTATTGCTCTGGCAACTTCTCTGTGACAAAGGAATCTCCCTAGATTGTTCTTGCTCCCTCCCCAGGAGAGACTGGGATAGGCACAGGCCAGCAACAGGGCTGGGATCTCTGATATTCAAAGCAAGCCTCCCCTGCTCGTCTGTGGCCCCAGGGCTGCCCCACCCAGGGAATGAAGTAGATGATAAAAATATCACAATCCGATTTCTAACAGCAGGGCCAAGCCAACTCTGTAAATCACCCGCCAGGCTTGCCCCACCATCAAGACCCATCATCATTATTATTGCAATTATGATTATTACCATAACTAGGGTAGAGCTTTTATGTTTTCCATCTGAATAGGCACTTATCATTGCCCGCCTGAGGTTTCCCTACCGGGCAAAAAGATTAACTGCCACTTAATATATTGCCATGTAATTAATGCCCTTGCCTCCCAGTGTTTTGGTTTAACATCACAGGAACGTTCTCAGACATGGTTCTGTGTTTGGAATTCCTGCTTCCCTATCGATGGTGGTGGCAGCAGTGGGTGATCGGTTCTGCTTTTCTAAGAATGTCCCAAGAAAATACCCTGGTAACTGCCAGGTTTTAAGAATCCAGTGTGTTCTATGGAAGAGCACTCAGCCATTTAAAAAAAAAAAAAGATGGATGAATACCTTTTGCAACAATCTGGATGGAACTGGAGACCATTCTCCTAAGTGAAGGCTTTCAAGAATGGAAAAGCAAACACCACGTGTCATGCATTCGCTATTAAACTGGAACTAACCGATGAGCACACACGTGCACAGAGGGAAGTAAATCTCAGTGGAAATAAAGCACGGAGGAGGAGGAGGGGATGGGTCAAAACCTACCTCCGGGTGACGGGCACACTTATAACCCTGACGATACATAGAACCAAAAACATTTGTATCCCTGCAATGTTTGGAAATTAAAAAAAAGTAATCCATCGGCAGTGGAAATAAAGAGTAGCATGAAGTTACAGAAAATGGAAGTGGGCTGCAAAATTAAAACTACAGAGTCGCGCCTGCAAAGGGTAATTATTACGAGGTAACTCATGATCAGTAGGTTCTAGTGCAAAGACAGTTGCCTGCCCTCAAAGTCAAGGGACATGAAGACATGATAACCACACGCATGTGGAATATGACACCACAAAAGGAAGACTCAGGGAAACTCAGTAAGTTTAAAGCTGCGGTCCCCAACCAGGCCGCACAGCGGGAGGTGAGCAGCGGTGGGGTGAGGGAGCAAAGCTTCATCTGTATTTACAGCTGCTCCCCAAACGCTAAGACAGCCCCCCAACCCCCGTCTTCCATGAAACAGATCCCTGGTGCCAACAAGTCAGGGGACCACTTGCAAAGGCAAGTATTTCAGTCATCCTAAGATCAGTAGGATGTGTCCCCTCCACAGGCACACGGATGAGTAGTGGACGTTTGCTGTCACTTTGTTGCCTACCATGTAACCCCCTCCTGCTAACTGCTCCCTGATTTTGCTTTCTTCTATTTTGTCTGGTGTTAACCTTTTTGCTCTGGGTGCGACACTGGCCATTCAGAGCATTCAATTCGACGGTCACACTGATGAATTCTAAGACGAACCAGGGATCCCGCCAGAGCCAATGGTCTACACCAATGGTCTTGGGTACTTTTGCTTGAGCTGACGAGAAAGGTGTATATTCTCTTTTCCTGCTAGAACTGGAGCTGTGACACAAGGCTTATCGTGTTGGACATCCCCACGAATGAGAATCTGCCGAAGGGCAAGCCAACACTGAGAAAAGTAGCATGAGGGGACATGGTCCTGATGACCTCTTTTGAACCCTATGGTCTATGGTCCCTTGAACTTTCAGGTCACATAAGCCGATAAACTCCCATCTTTATTTAAAAAGAAAAAAGAATGCAATGGGAAATAATACGACAATTTTCAAGGCCTGACCAGGTGTCTACAGGGACCTGCCCCCTTTCATTGTCACTATTGTCTCAGGAAGGTACCGAGGGTTTCTTTTGTCCCTTCCTACTACACCCAGGCTCTCCCCGTGGGTTTTCATCTTCGATTTGTGATCACATCAATCTCTACCCCTTTCTTCCAGATATTATGAATACTTGAAAAGAAACCATACACAGTGTTTAGAATTCTCCATCTAGTTAAAAATGTGGTTTTGGCTATTTAAAAAGAGAAGCACCACTCACTGGCAATCACCTTGAATCTTAACCTCTGGGCCACGGGAAATACTGCAACTCTGATAGAGATGGGGTTCTGTAGCACCCACCCGCTCCCGGCCAGATGGGTGGGCAGCGGGAAGTGAGGGGCTTGCGGGGAATGCGCCTGCCTCCCCACCTGCGGCCCCAGACCCCCTGCGGAGTCAGCCCTGCTAAGTCTGAGCTCTGGGCTTCTAAGCCGGAAGAGGAAGACCTACCATCCTCAAGAACAAGTGCATCTGAGAGGGAGCTGTCTTCACTGGCGATGTTTCCATCTGAGAAAGACAAAAAAGCAAACGTCTGTGAGTCTAGCACATTCCTTCAAACAAAGCCCTGTCTGTAAAAAACAGTGTGCTCACCACTCCCTCCTGTTCTTCCCTTTCTAATCAGAAAGAAGCCATGAGATACAATAAAAATGCTGTCGGGCATTTCCTTTGACAGCCCCTGGGCTGGGCCGTGAGCTCATCCTCCCCGCCCGACTTCTCGGAGTGCCCCGGTTTTTGTGTTTCTGTGTTCTTGTTCCGTAGGATCCTGCAGAGCAGCGTGGCTTCACATCCGATATAAAGGCTGCCCTGGTCTAGTTAAGCTGCATCATTGTCCCAGCACAAACTTAGGGCATGTACCGACGAAACCAAAGGAAGCAAACTGCTATTTATTCTACAAATGGCGAAACCAGGGAAGGGAACTTAGCTTTGCTCATGCGGCAATAAATGCCTTCTCAATAAACTTCATAAGCCATTAGTAGAGAAAACAAGTGTGCTAAATACAGACTCCATCTCTCCGAAGCTTATTTTTATAGACACCATTCAATTAACCAGAACACACCCAAGAAGGAGACATTAAATAATCCTCCCAGTTTCACCACTGGGGAAACCGAGGCACACCTAGGGAAGATGTATACACACATCAAGGGAAGAGTGGTTTCTGCAAGGTGGTTGTTCTGCTCTTACGGCAAAGTGAACAAAGATCCCAAGTCCTCAGATTGCAAGTTTAGTGTTTTATCGCTTCAAACAAAATGCCATGCTAAGGAACTAGCAAGAACCTTAATCGCTCCTCTAGTTCAAGTGGGCCCCTGGATGTTTCTGCAGAGCTCGGAACCCCCAAATGCCATTGGGGTGGCAGGGAGAGGTCTTCAACAGGGCGTAAGAGAAGGGCTGGCTGGCGGGCTCCGTTAGGAAGTAGGGAAAAGTTGCACGGTCTTGGCCAAGGATAACAGGGTGAAACAGGGAAACATGGTTATTCCAAATTTCCTACAGCAAACGAATTTTTAAAAGTCTCTCTCTTTTTAACTAGGAATTCACTCTATTCCTATTGCTTGATGAACTGAGAACCTTGACTCTGGCATTGTGGAACCTCCCGCATATTGTTGCTTCCCTAGTAAATGTCAACACATTTAGGTTGCAGATATATATATTAATATCATTGTGGTCAGACAGACATGACATCGACTTGACCATTTTAACCATTTTAAAGCGTGTGGGTCCATTGCATGAAGAACATTCACAATGTTCTGCAACCATCCATCTTCTGCTTGGATGACAGGTGCATTTCCCCAGACGGAAGGCCTGTACCCATTAAGCAATCCCCCCTCATTCCCCACTGGCCCTAGCTCCTGGTCACCGCTATTCCACTTCCTGTTTTCCTAGAGCAAAAGTATCTGAGACATGCACACCCTAGGAAAGCGTACTTGACGTGGGTTTTCAAGAATTCGCTGACTTAGAGAAAAAGGATTCCAACAGTTTGGGGGACTTGATGTTTGTTGGTGGATTTAGGGGCATTCCCCTCTAAAGTTTACCAAATAGAGGAGTTCAGCCAAACTTCTAACTCCTGACCAGAGCTCAGGGCTCTCTGGACAATGACACAGGGATGGTCCTTCCGGTCCTCCCAAGCCTAGGCTCTTGGGACAGGAGGCCCCTGGAAACGGAGTCAGACTGGGGGTTGTCGGGGAGGTGCGGGCCTGCAGGGCTTGCTTGAGGAGGAGGAGGGGCGTGTCACTGCTGCTGCGTACCCCAGCCACCCACCTCCTCCCAGACTTAGGTGGGGGCACTCATGTCCCCGAGCAGGTCAGAGTCTGGGCTAGCCCAGTCACCTTGGCTCAGCTCAGAGTAAAGGCTGAGAAGAGTGTCACCTCGTCACCGTGGCTTCCCCAGGAGGCAGTCCCCAGGGAGAATGCCGGTTCCATGTGTGCAGTCGCTTTCATCCGGGCATCTGAGTGTGCGTGTTTGCCCTCATGTGCTAACAGACGGCAAACTAAGGCACAGAGCGGTTAAGTATCCACTCAGCTCATGCAAGGACCACGCGTGGGACCTGGCGTCTGGTTCCCTGAGGCCCGGGTCGGGGGCGGGGACGGGGTGTGGGCCGCCCGCACGGCACTGACCGTCTATGATCAGCGAAGCCCTCTGCGTGGGTTTCTTCCCGGACTTGATGCGGTTCTCGTTGATTGCATTTTCAATCTCCTGCAGCTTCTTCAGTGCATTCAGGTAAGAGGTTTTCCTTTGTTTCTTCAGTTTCTTGCTGACATTGGGGTCGCTGGCCAGGCGGCGGGCGGCCTCGGTGATCTGGGACTGGATGGCGAACTCTCGCTCCAGGCGTTCCAGCTCGGCTTCCTGTGGGAGGGACAGTCGCAGCAGACGTCACCGGGGATGCTGAGCAGGGGACAGGGGACACCCATCCTCCCCTCCCTCAAGCCCCCTGCGTAAGGTGAGCCCGGCTCCTTGGGAGACACGTGCACCAGGAAGCCAAGAGTCCCAGTGCCTGACCCCAACCCTGCCTGACCCCACCCCGCCGTAGTAAGAGACTGGCCCCACCCCTCAGGTCTCTGCCCGCCGCTGGCCCGGACACAGCCACTGTCAGGACTCTGGGCTCCCGTCACTTTTGGAGACAAGGGTTGTTCTGTACACTGGCGCCACCACTGAGCAGCGTCCTGGGGTCACCTGTCCCTGGCAAGGTTCATCAAGACAAACCAAAGCCACCTTGGACCTTCAGAGCCCCGTTGGTTGTCATTTTCTTTCCATTTCAGGCCTAGGACATGGCATTATTTTTAGAGTCGTCTTTCTGTCATGCCTCTCTGTGGGTTTGCCGACAGGGAGCCCACACACGTACATCTAACCCACACGTCCTCTGAGTCACACACGTTGTGCCTCTCGTGTTGGGACATGTCCCCACTCACCCGTGTCTTTCAGAAGCTCTTTTTGCATGCTCTAGCTGCGCTGCTAACACCTGCCCGTTCGTGGACGCCCTGCTCGGGCTCCGCCAGGGCCCCCATGGGCACGGATGGTGGGGGGGGGTGGAGCCAGTTCCCCCTAGCTCCCTGGACGAGTGTCCCCTCCTTCTCCTGCGGCCCCTCCCACCTGTACCCCCCTCCCTTTGGCCAGGACTTGCCGATGAACGAGTTTCTCCTTAAACAGACTCTGGGGCCTGGGGAGAGCGAAGCTGTGGCTGTCAGAAAATGCCTGGGGGACCCAGAGGGTGACACCCCGATAGAGCATGTCTGCTCTCTGCCGACCACACGCCCTGCTGCAGATGTGTGCGCACCAGCTCAAGCGTGTGTGTGCGAGGATATGGGGGTGAGTGCAGAATCCCCCAAAGTGTCAGCTAGTCTGTTTTTCTATTTCCTCTCTTGCCTAGTGAAACCCCTGTAGTCAAAGCCAGCTGTCCATAGCAGCCTGTAAGGTTATGATTTGGAGCAGAGAGCTGCAGGCTGGCTCCTCGTGCAGGGCCCAGAGGCTGGGGATTGCCAGGGAGCTTGGAGGAGATGCAGACTCTCTGTCTCACCCCACACCTAATAACCCCACGACACATGCATCAGCAGTTTCTCCAAACGCCGGCGAGCAAGGCCAGGAGACCACAGATCTCGCCCAAGGAGATTCACGGTCACAGGAGCTGCCCTAACCAGGCAGGGGAGGTGCCCACGTCTGCTGGAATCAGATCTCCCCGGCTAGTGGGCACACGTTCTGAGCCTGATTTCATTTACTTTTTTTTTGAGACAGAGTCTCACTTTGTTGCCCAGGCTAGAGTGAGTGCCGTGGCGTCAGCCTCGCTCACAGCAACCTCCAACTCCTGGGCTCAGGCGATCCTCCTGCCTCAGCCTCTCGAGTAGCTGGGACTACAGGCATGCGCCACCATGCTCGGCTAATTTTTTTCTATATATATTAGTTGGCCAATTAATTTCTTTCTACTTTTATAGTAGAGACGGGGTCTTGCTCTTGGTCAGGCTGGTTTCGAACTCCTGACCTTGAGCAATCCACCTGTCTCAGCCTCCCAGAGTCCTAGGATTACAGGCGTGAGCCACTTCGCCCGGCCTTCATTTACTTTTGAGCACGTTAAGTCTCAAGGGAGCAGGGACCAGGAGTAAGAGGAAAAAGTGAAGGTTAATCAGAACCACTTAAGAGATAATAAACTCCTTCCCAGTCCTTCGGATGCCGGCCGCGTTGGTCCTCCCGGGAGGGAGGGGAATGTCGAAATGGACTCGCGCCCGGTGTCTCGAAACAGGCGAGTCACCCGGGGACAAAGGCTGCTCTGTGAGGACCCCGCCAGGCAGCTGCTCGTGGGCCGTTACGACAGCGCTGAGCCCAGACACTGACTCAGAGTCTCGCGGGAGCCCGGGCCGAATTCTCACCGCTTGCTCTAAGACACGTGCAGGGGCGAGCGCCCCGCGTGTGCACAGGCTGCCTGCCGGGAGAGCGAGGGTGCGGGGCGCACCTCGAGGGGCAGCAGCAGCGCCCAGGCAGGCCGCTCTCTTCCTTCCGGGAGGAACTCTCTGGAACACCCGCTGCTTCTGTGCGGGCTCCTTTTTATGAACTTAGGAGAGACTAAGACACGCAGGGATAGGTGAGGGAACACGGACACACGTGGAATTCCCGGGGAACTGAAGTCCTCCTTTACTGAAGAGTGCCAAAGGTGCAGTGACACTCTGGGAAGATCAGCGGGGGCCCGAGGGGGACACTCACTAAAAGTGGGGTTGCTTTTTAAAGTGCCAGGTGTCTGCCCAGCAAGGGAAGCTGAAGTTCCTGATGATCAGCTGCATTTGAGGAATACCCGGCCACGTAGATTTCTCAGTCCTGCCCTCCCGCACCCCCACGCACAGCCGCTGCACCCCTCCCCGGCTCCGCAGACAGCTAATGTGGGTGAGCACCGCGCAGGCGCTAAGTCCCGAGTCCGTGTTTTGCATAGACTGGCTTCCTTTCACCCTAGTGACAACCCCCACGAGTTAGGGCTATGAGCTTCCTTTTACAGAAGACGAAAACTGCCTGATGGAGCTTTAATTCTGGAGGAAGCACGCTGGTGTGTCCACCAGCGTTCCCGGGACCTGTGACCGCAGATCTCAGGAGATCCAACGCTTAGCTTGGCCCCGGGCACCTGGGTCCCCCTCTGAATTCACCGGCACACTGTCCCTACCAACCCTACGGCAGGTGTTCCGTGAGAACGTCAGTTTCTCTCGATCTCTCTCTTAAAAGACTAAAAATGCGCTGTATTCCCTTGTCCGCTGCCTTTGAGTCCTGACCTGTTAAGCCCTCTGTTCACGAGCATGTTAATTAGTAACCGTATTGAGAATAAATGTGGGAAGACACTTCCTGGACGTGACCCTGAGGCCTGCAGTTATTACCTGGCTTTTACCATCTCTTGGTCTGAGGCTGGACACTCATTAACCTGCCAGGGACTCAAGTTCTTACTGTCCCCTCCCCCTCCAAGTGTGAACTCTCCAGCCCCAACCCCACCAGCGTTCAGTCCAAAGAGGATGCAAGTGGCTCCTCCAAACACAGACGGCCCAGGTGTGTTGCTCCTATTTTTGCCGGGATCTGAGCAGCCGCTGAGGTCCTGACCACGCAGGGCAGGCCCTACACATCCATCCCCAGCCAGGGGACAAGGGACTCTTTGCACCTATAGTTTTGTTGCACAGACCAGGCATTAGGCTTGGCTCTGAATAACCCAGGGCTGGGAGGCTGTTCAAAAGACAAATATTCATGAGCGCCACTGGAATGTTCTCCCCCAGCTCCACTCAGCCGCCTGCGTGAGGCCCACAGCATCAGACAAGCAACTTCCACGGGAACCCGAGTGCCTGCTAATGCGAGCGAACTAGTCCCACCCAGGGGAACCACGCACCGACCAGCGGGCTCGCTCAAGAAAAGGTCAAAGGGAACCTCGTGGCATTGGGCAGAAATGAGGACATCATTACAGAAAGCCCGGAAGCCCTAACAAATGGGAAAAACGAGGATAAGGCGGGAGAGCCCGGCAGCAGAAGGAAGGACCCACCTCTCCTTTGGGCAGGATTTTCTGCTCATCCAGCTTGAAGGCCGTGCCTATTCTTCTCCGAACGATGGGCGGCTCCTCCCCTGGATCCAGGGGATATTCGACAGGCAGTTTGCCCGTGAGCTCCTGCATCCGGGAGAGAGTATTCAGACCACACATCAGACTGGGGCACATGCTTGTTTCCTTGCATGCACACGCGTGTGCACGCACGCACACACACCCCCCAATGCGCAGACTCAATGCCTAGATCAGAAACACGGAGCACTAACCCTAAATAAGAGTTCATGGAATGAAATGTCATTTCTCTAAAGATGTTTGAGAGTAGTCCTTTCTTTAGAGATGTACTTTCAAATGTAAACGTCTTCTCAGTAAAATTGTCATTGGCTTTCATTATAAACCTGAATTTCACTCACCCATCTGTTAATCTAACAGGTGTCCTTCCTGTGTGCCTGCTCTCTGCCAAGGGAGTCACCCCACCAGTGGGGACCACGGTCGACACGAATTCTCGTGTCTCCCCGGCTCCAAACCCTGTGTCCTTCCCACAGCATCGAACATTCCCCTCCAGTATCTAGGTTTGCCATTTCTCTCAAATGAGCTTCTTTTTCTTCCTTTCTTTTCTTTTTCTTTTTTTTTTTTTTTTTTTTTGAGACAGAGTCTCACTCTGTTGCCCGGGCTAGAGTGCCGTGGTGTCAGCTTAGCTCACAGCAACCTCAAACTCCTGGGCTCAAGCGATCCTCCTGCCTCAGCCTCCCGAGTAGCTGGGACTACAAGCATGTACCACCATGCCCGGCTAATTTTTTCTATATATTTTTAGTTGGCCAATTAATTTCCTTCTAGTTTTAGTAGAGATGGGGTCTTGCTCTGGCTCAGGCTGGTTTCGAACTCCTGACCTTGAGCAATCCACTCGCTTTGGCCTCCCAGAGTGCTAGGATTACAGGCGTGAGCCACCGTGCCTGACCTCAAATGAATTTAAGAGGAGTGGTAGCTAGATGGCAAATTCCAGAAAAGTGCATTAATACATAATTTAGAAACTGAACATGGGTAGTAATTCTTCCATCCTGGCTAGTCACTATGGGAATGGGCTGCAATGAAAAGACACTGAACTATATACAAAATAAGAGTTTTAGCGGACAACTGAAAATATAATCCGTATTGTTGACAAGGCCACTGAAAAAATCTATTGTGTATCTGGGGTTCAAGAAATCTAATTACTGTGGGGACAAGAATAGTGAATTTAGATCCCAGGCAAAAGCTGGGCCATTGTGTTCTGAAATGCTTACATTAGGGAATGAAAAGTCCACGGGGTCATTTCCCAGCGATCTGAACACAGAAGGGAAGAGGCCCGGGAGAGCAGGAAGGGGTGCGTGTGCACGTGCTCACAGTCTGCGTGTGCACGTACATTAGCACACACGCACACCCGTGCATGGCAGCGGGGGAGGAAGGATCAGTTACTCGCCCATAATTTGGGTTTTCCCAATTATGGCTCTGGGGAAGGATTTGGGATTAGAATCAGGCTCTCTACGAATGCATTATATTTGGGCTGAATAAAGATCAGGTTTGAGTTAGCAGCTAACAGTCGGCGTGAAGGCCAGGCAGCCAGTGCAAGAAGTCACTTCGAGAGACCAGAGAAGTCTGGGGGACCCACTGTGTGTCTCCAATGGCAACGTGGGCACTTCCAGCAAAGCCCAGCTCTGGGTTCCTAGCCCCAAGATCAAGGCAGATGCTGTACAGAGACTCAAGGGTTACTCCGACACGGAAGAGGCCAGAAGTTTCTTCCTGGGAACATCCATCGGCCGTACAGAGAGCTTTTGTTGGGGCAGCCCAGTCCTGAGTGTCCAGCTGGCGAGACAACCCAAATTCTGGGAGAGGGACTCTGATCCCTCTTTCCCACTGCCGTGTGCTGAGTGCACAGGTATGCGTGAGTTTGCGTGCCCGTGTGTGTGTGCGCATGCGTGTGCAGACTGTGAGCACGCATGCGTACACACTCCTCCCTGCTCTCCCGGGCCTCTTCCCTTCTGCGTTCACATCACTGGGAAATGACCCTGTGGACTTTTTATTCCCTAACGTAAGCATTTTAGAGCACAATGGCCAACTCTCTGAGTGTGCAATGCTCTGCAATTATCCTCCTTGGCTTTTTTCTTTCTTTTCTAAAAAAATGTGGTTCAAATGTCTCCAAAGTAGTTATGTGTTTAGTCGGCAACTTTTTTTTTTTTTTTAATCTGCTTTCCTAAACATCTGTGTATTTATTTAACACAACCTATTGCGGGTTTTATACTGTCAGGACTTTATATTATTATTTTTTTACCTAGAGACTTATAAAGAGGAGAGAAAAGTTCTTAAAATTCTGCTAGATTTATTACTCTCCAGTGTCTGTGGTTTTAAAATATAGTTTAAAAATGAGGGGACTGGTTTTCCCCCATCTGCATGAAGGTATATGAGTCGAGGTCTTGATTCTCCAGATATTTAATCTGGTTTCATATGTAACTGGAGCTGCATGGCGAAGAAGTCATTTAACGCTGTGTAGTTGGGGTGCTCGGTTTGGTGCCTCTAGATTCTGCCAAACGCTCTCACCCTACCTTGTTCTGGCAGCTGCCTTCCCAACAAACAGCTTCTGGATATGAGCTGAGCGGAGAAATGTGCGTGAACAGCACACAGTTGGCAAGAAGACTGCCACCATTCACTGCAGGGAAATCCATAGTAAGGCGGGAATGACATTGAACAAGCACAGGGAAGTCACCCTGCGCCTGACTTCTTGCCGGGCTATTTCTTCCACTGAAGTCGCATTTTCTGCTGTCAACATTATAAGAAGTGGGAGCTTTGTTTTCCTTGTCTTGCATTTATTTTTCAGAGAGACGGTGGAGACTTTTTAGAATGCATGCTGATCTTGCCCTGACATGTTTCTTACGTTTCCTAATGTGGATTCCCTGCCGGGGTCAGGAGGGACGTTTCCTTTATTAAAAACAAAACAAGGCTTTACAAATTATTAAAGGCAGGCACCAAAACCCGCATTTTCCCAATCCTTCCAGCATGGTCTTTATAAAAACGTGGCTAATACTAACAGTATCACATAGCACATTTCCCAGCTAGGACAATGGGCTTTCCTGAGAGTTCCAATGGATTTGTGCTAATGTGGTTCTGCTTTGAGAGCAGGCTCCGGTTTAAATCAATCCAGACCATAATTAAGCCAAGTTGAAATGTAATGTGATCTCAGTCTATGGCCCTCCTTTCATTCTTCCTGCTGCAAGGCATTATTTGGGGGAGGGGAATACGTCTCTTCCACTTGGTTTGGGAAGTGCTTCGTACCTCCCATCGTAACCTGTCTACCAACAGAGATCTTTGCAATGTTACACAGAACGAGATCTCTCCTGGGAGAGCACCCCTCCGCGATGCCCATGTGCAAGTGTACACACACACACACACACACACACACACACACACACACACACAGAGTAATGCATGCCACATTTCAAACATGAAGTCTCCAAACATTGCTATCAAAGAGTCAAGGAAGAAACAGACGAAGGTGGAAATGGACATTTAAATAAATATAAACAAGAGCCTGCAGCAACCTCTATGAAACTAGCAGAGACACACAGCCCCTAGGAAGCATTCCTTTGCATACAATTTAAAAACATCACTGGGCTAAGAGTTTATTTTAAACAATAGTAAACGAGTGAAGCAAACACCAGATCGAGAGGTTTAAAGGGAACTGTGCATCTATTGAAACCCTGGACCGCCAGTGCTCCTCAACATGATGTCCAAAAGCCAAATTTGAAACATCCTTAAGAGAAACAAAAGCTGCAGCAACAATAAACTCAGGCACAAAAAGTCTTGGGAAGGTGGTGGCCAGCCGTCATATTCGACAGGGTACCAACACATGCGGAAATGCTTTATAAGCTATGGTGCGCTATATGAGCACAAGGGACTGTTATTAAGACTTGTCACTTGGCCTCTAGAGGGGTCCTATTTAGGATCTGGCCAGCAGCAGCTTTAACTGGTTGTCATGGTGTTTCATCAACGTCCCCTCATTCGGATAAGGCGTATTACAGAGGTGTGGATGTTTCTCTTTATCAAGCGTCCTCAAACTTTTTAAACAGGGGGCCAGTCCACTGTCCCTCGGGCTGTTGGAGAGTGCGGTGCACATTCCACACATGCGCACTGCCGGCCCGGGACAAGTCGGCTGCAAAGCAGGACAGGCAGCGGCGGCAAAAACACCTGGTGGGCCGGACAAATGTGCTCGGCGGGCCGCATGTGGCCCTCGGGCTGTGGTTTGAGGATCCCTGCTCTTTATCAACCCCGCCCTTTGCCCTTTGTGAATAATTTGTGGTCAGTGATGTCTCGGACAACCCAGATTCCCACAGGACGAGGAACGAACCACTCACCGCTTCCCGGAGACAGAGTTTCTTGAGCTCTTCCAGCCTCTGACGCAGCGTTTCCTCCAGAGCTTCCTGCCTGGATCTCAGGGCAGCCAGCATGTCTTTCTTGGCCGACTGGGAGCTGTCTGATTCCTGAGACCCTGTCAAATAAACAGCGGGGTTACCAAGGCCAGCCGGCGGGGGACACACATCTGGCCCACTAATGAATTTCACCGGAGCCCACGCCGTGGACATGGGATTTAACCTCGGGAACCAAGGGAGTGTGAAATAAAACAGGTGCTCAGAGTTCCAAGTGTGAAGAGCAAATTCCAGAGCTGCATGGAATTTACAGCTAGTCGGAAGGACTGGCAGGGAAATGGACACTCCTGACAATAAAGTTTATCTTTCTTGATCATCTTAAGATAGGCCACATACCTGTTTTCATTTCACTAGGAAATTTTAACAGACTTTATATACAACGTGGGGGGAAATGAAGTTCATGCTAGTATCATTTTAATATGCATTTTTAATTTTCTTTTGTCCATTTAAAAATGCTTTTTGCTTAGTGCAAAGATAACGTAAACTTTGAAAATGTAGACAGTTATAAAAATAGTCCATAAACTAATCACCTACAAATAAACCACTGCTGTGCATTTTCTTTTGACCTTTATTAAGGTCACATATATTTTAAAAGCACATATATTTAAAAAAGAAAATTAGAATTTTATTATGTTTTTTAACTTCATATTGTATCACAAATTCCCTCCTAATAAAAGTTATTCACATTTTTACATGCTTTCCTGGATAAAATATCTGCATGACAATTCAAATAGCAGAGTGCTAGATAGAAAACCTTTGTAGAAGGCAAACTATGAACCAAACAAAAGGAAAATAAACTGAAATGCCAACGGGAGGAGTTTAGGTTAGTCCAAAAGAATAATTTCTGGGCTGCAATGTTTGGATTCTGAAATAGGTTTCCTGCAGTGAAGCCATTACAGTTTTTCTACCTTGATGGGTTAGAAAAGGTGCCTTGGCCTCCCTGGAAAAGGAAAAGCTGATTATTACTTTTCTTTCCATGCTCATGGTGAGCAGAAGTATTAGAAATGGACAAATGTTATTAAGTGTGCATTCAAGAGGCTCACAACACGCCAGCCACTGACGCAGCATCAAACGACCTCACATACCTACAGAGATTAATCTAATTAAAGATGTGCAAGGTCTCTACCGTGAAAATTTTCACTCTGCTGAGAAAAATTAAAGACCTCAAGAGAGAGAGACATACCGTCTGTGGTCATGGATTGGAAGACTGATGTGGTAAAGACGTCCATTCTCTATGAATTAAACACTACAATCAATGCAATCCCAATAAAAATCCCAGCAGGATTTTTTTTTTGGGGGGGGGGAAGGTAATAGGAATTGCATTTCCATATGAAATAACTGAATTTCTGGACAATTCAGTAAATGGGGATTGGAGAACAATACAATTAAAATTCCCAGAGTCAATGGTTCTGTTTCTTCCGATGGTAAAGGAGGCGTCTTAGAATCAATCCTAAGGCTTGAAAGAACTTCTATGCCTTTAGATCAGAGAGCTCTGTGATCCCCAAGGTGTTCCCACAAACATACTATTCTACTCTTTTATTTAAAGTCTCTGAGTAGGAAACCCTGTATTCGCCCAATTACCATGTATCAAGCTCTTGTAACCCTAATAATCAAGAACTCTCAGTGTCCTAAGTACATTTGGACTCTGACTCGGGCTTTGTTCTTTCCTTCCCCCACCCTATTTGAGCTCAAAATAGAGGATATATTTACCACCGTAGGAATATTCTATCTTCACGCTGCCACAGCAGTTAATAAATATTAGTTTGAATGAGCAAACAAACATTTTCAGTCATAAACTTGAATGCTCTAATTAAGTTGTACCTCCTCTTGGTAAATCTAGTACGCGTAAGTGGTTCCTTTATAGACCCTACATTGCAAGCTTTGAATCATGTTTGTAGCTCTTTCCTGGATTTTAACATGCTTCCGTTGCAGGTTTCCAAATTCAATAGTAAAACTCAAACGAAAGCTTGATCCTTGCTGAGAGACTCCATGACCTCATGGCTCACATATACTAAATCTACACGGCGTCATATTCATGCAACACGCTGCTGAATATTTTTGCAGGCTCCCCTTTCTGAAATGGTTCAGGTTTTCCCCCTCCAAAAGTCAATTATGTTGGGTTTATCAGTACTAAATTATCCCCAGTCTCTGTCCGTCCAATGCAACATGGCCAAATCATTTTGAATCTCAATCTGATTCTCTTAGTAATAGTCACCCATCACATTTGAAGACACGGGAAAATTTAATGAGGTCCTCTCTGTTTCATCATTCAAAGAATTAATAAGAATGTAAAACAATACTGGAAGGAAGTCAGATTTCAGATTTAAAAAACAGGCCTGGGGAACTCAGGTCCAAGAAGATTAAAGGATTTTCTAGCTCAAGTGAAAAATTCATTGTTTTCCCTTTCACCCTCGCCTAACCTCTGCATAGGAAATGATGATTTATTACATCAAATCTAAGAATTAATTGTGCTTAAGAATGGCAACAATCACAACAATATTAAACTCAGAGAGGTAAAGCGCACGGGTTTTTGGATGATCGGGTTTCCAGTTATGGGATTAGTTAAGAACTGGCCTTGAGTTATAGGGCTCATAAATGCTACCTAAATTATTATGATTTATAATAATTAGCCTACACCAAACCCACATAAGACAGGCAGGAAAGTCTCGGCAGGCGGGATGGGTGCAGAGCCCCTCTCTGCGTCTGGCACCACGAATGCTGGCTGGCTCTGTGTCACGCCTGTAGCCTGGCAGTCACTCGAGGAGGAAGATGGTGCCTGGGTTCAAAGTTAAACTCCTGCAAAGTCATTTAGCCAGCCTGGCCTGGCCACGCAGATTTCCATGTGCTAACGGTCAGAGGACAGCGAAGTAGAAGGTCAAACAGATCTGGGTTTGAAGAAGCCTAAACCATTCAGTACGTATGCGACCTGCCCTCCTTGATTCACGGTAAAGACTAAATGACACAAAGCATGCACAGCACTCAGCAGCGCGCCTGGAATAAATAGGTAAACCCTCAGCCTAGGGCAGATTTAGCACCAGTGCGCATGTGCACGCATGCGCACGCGCACACACCCCCCCTTGTGGAATCAGAATGAGAAATCATTGGAAGTACCTCCTCGCTGTGGCTCAAGGTGGGTATTGGTCAAAGAAAGGAACTTGTCTGTGCAATGCAGTGTAAGACTTGAGCTCCAAAGCTCACCCTTAGAAAAATGCGATACAGGTCTAGGCAGTATTTTCAAACTGCATTTATTGAGACCCTGGTTTTGCAGATATGCCTTTGGGGCAGCTGTGGGTGAAGGTGAGGATGGGGTTAAGGAGATTCTGTGGGTTTGGGTGGCCTCCACGCCCCACTCCTCAAGCCAGAGCAGCTCCGCATTAACCTGTTTCATGGGTCATGCTGCATTGAAAAGGGGCTCCCATTGCCTGTTTTCCCACTGTTCTCAGGCAGGGCTCTGAGTTCTCACAGAGCTCATGTGATTGGAGGCTGTGGGTTGTCACCTGCAATGAGGCAAACGTGGCCATCGAGAGGCGAAGTGGCCGAGTGCCCAGTGACACGGGTGCCCAGGGACATCCCACAGGAGGAAGCTCAAAAGGATGCCCTCCAGGCACCCCCCTGAACGGGCTGGTTGGCTCTACAAGGGAAGGAGCAAAGAGGCCACAAGCTAGCGAGAAATCAGGAGGCAGGGGCTGTTCACTCTGTGGCTGGTCATTTGAGTCCTCTCACGTGGTAGAATGACTCCAGGAAGAAACAGAAGCAGGTTAGAGACTCAGGCCTCAGGTCCATGGGCATCTCATAAACTAAAGGTTCCCGAGCATATAGAAAGTGATTCTAGACCCAGACATAGTTTTGAATCAGCACCTAGACTTGGAGAATGGAACGGAAGCTCTTGGTTCCCATAACGGGTCCATTTCTAATTATTAGAACACACACATGCCTTTGCACATGCAAGACCTCTCCAAGGTTGTGAGTTTAGCCCCTTAGTAATTATAAAAGGGTTTAAATCTGCTATTCTGGGAGGGCAGTGACTCACAGAAAAGACCAGTGGATTTTCATCACGTGTCTGCTATTAAATGGACTAAGGCCTCGAGTCTCTAACCTCACGGCCCCATCTATAAAGTGACTGATTGACCAACCTCCAAAGATGCCTCCAAACTTGGAGAAAAGATTCTTTGATAAACAACTTCCTCAGGCAGTTCCTTCTTGCGGCTAGCAGTCACTTTTGCAATTTTTACAGAAGGAACCTTATACACGGTACAGTCCCCCCTTCTTTTTCACCATCCCAACCTCTAGGAAAGACAAGCCTTCTGGCAGCTCTGTTCTCATTCCAGTTACGGCCGCAGCCTCCCTTGGCTTGGAACGGCGTGTCTAATTATCAGCCAGTGCCTAAAGGATTCAGCTCTTCCTCTTGTCAACAGACCAAAGCAAACATTAGTAAGCCTGAATGCTAAATAGAGCTTAATCTGAGCTGGCTTTGGGATTAATGAAGCAGAAAGATGGATGGAACCTCTTTACTATGCCTAGAAGAGGGAGATTTCTAAATTTATGGATCGAAAAGGCAGTAATCAAGTGCTACGTGGAAAGGGCTGCCCAAGTATAATGAGTTGGCACAGGAGACAAAGGAAAAACAGAGGTGTGATTTCAGTATTTTTGAAAGATACACATAACATTTGAATACTTTCTTGGGGGGTGTAAATTTTCGAGCAACACCTAAGTTTATAAGGAAGAATGTTCTGAATATTCTTTGGAAAACACAAACTGGCACTGTACCTAAAGCAGAGGTCTACAGTCTAGTGGTTCCGAGTGAACGGGGCCTGGGTGTGTGTGGTGGCATTGCCACTTACCAGATGCAGGGACTTGGGAAGGTGATGGAACCTAAGTCTCAGTTTCCTCCCCTACAAAATGGGAATGAAAACAGGACTTTTTTCAAAAGTTGGGAGAATTAGAAGACATAATGCTTAGAAGATGAGCTCAGAAAACATCAAGTGCTATATGAATACTAGTTCTTTTTATTAAAAAAAAAAGTGTCCCCAGCCTTTTTTGGGAATTGGCACTCCAATTCCAG